TTTGCACCTTTCCTGGAACTCACTTGGTAGCCCAGGCTGGCCTCGAACTCACAGAGATCTGCCTGGCTCTGCCTCCCGAGTGCTGGGATTAAAGGCATGTGCCACCACCGCCCGGCTGCGGAGTATTTTCATACACATAACTTCCCTTGTTTGGTGTGCACAATGCTTTCTTCTCTTCAAAGCCTCGTGGGATGTCCATCCCTTCCTGATTATTCCAGTCTTCTTCCCGTGCATCCCAGTCTACCAGAGAACTGCTAGTCCAAACAAGCAGGAAAGAGTTGGACAATAAGTGTGAGTTCATGAGTGCAAGGAGGTCCTCCAACTTCGTTTCTATTCACCCAGAGGAGACTATATAAACCTGAAATTGAATTCTTCGAGTTTTCTCTTCAGCATTTTGAGTTGACATGTAAACAAGTGTGTGGGGCAGGATGGGGTCTGCATCAGAACAGAGTTCCTCACATGAGGGATGGTAGAAAATTAGTTTAAGAAGTGTGAAGTATTTCACGACAGAGGAAGATGGGAGCAGTGGTTAGATTAACAGAGGGCTAGAGGGACTCAGGTGGCCCTGGTCCTCTGGAAGTCCCACTGGGAGGGCAGAAAAGAAACGGAGTCACTTTCTTACCTAGAGAAGGTCATTTTATTTTTTTTCACAACGTATTTTGATCATGTTTTCCCCTCCAACTCCTACCACATCTCCCTCATCTCCCTAAACCACACAACTGTATCTCTCTATCTCAAAAAAAAAAAAAAAAACAACAACAAAAAAACTCACAAAAATGAAAATCAAGACAAACAAACAAAAAGCCCCAATAAGGCAAAGAATGTCAATAAACAAATAAATAAAAGGAATAAAAACAGCCCACAACAAACTAGTATGGAATTCGTTTTGAGTCAGTCAGCTACTCCTGGGCATGGGGCCTGCCCTGGAATATATGCCTATCGACTCCATATACCCAGTGATACATACCCAGCGACACACAACTGGAGAAAATGGGTTTTCCCTCTGCTAAAAGGTATCAATTGCAATAGCTTTTCTGTTAAGGGTGACTTCCTGTGTCCTCTTCTTCCTCTCAGTGCTGGGACCCTGTCTGGCTTGAACCAGTGCATGTCTTGTGTGTGCTGGCACAGTCTCTGTGAGTTCACACATACACCAGTCCTGCTGTATTTCTTAGAGTCCTCCATCTCCTCTGGCTCTTACCATCTTTCTGCTTTCTCTTCTGAACACATCCCTGAGCCTTGAGGGGAGGGTCTTGAATGAAGACATCCCATGTAGGGTCGAGTGCTCCAAAGCCTCTTCCTCTTCGCAGGTTGTCCAGTTGTGGGTCTGTGTTAATCTCCATCTACTGCAAGAGGAAGCTTCTCTGATGAGGGTTGAGTGTTGCTCTGATCTATGGGGATAACGCCACGTCATTAGGAGTCATTAGTGCTATGCTCTGTTAGCAGAATCATAATAGTACATTCCCCCCAGGCTCATGAACAGGGTATATTAATGAGGAGAGAGAATAAACGGTATAAATTTAGAAAACATATTGCATGGTAGCTACTGAGAAAGTATAACTTTTTTTTTATAATAAAAAGAGTGCATTGGAAATGAAGATTTGAGATGGAATGTGTGTGGCAGGGCAGATGTTATTGAAATCTTAATCATCTTGGCTAGGGAATGCCTTACTGGGAATGAGGAGACTCGGAGTGAAAGTCCAAACTTTAGAGTAACTGTCCACGTGAGTGTCTAAGAAAGGTCATTTTGGGAGGGAGCACATTTGGCAAAGGCAAATGGGTAGGTGACTGGCTTCAGAAGAACTAGATTATGTATATTTTATATCTCCTGCTGATTCCAGTTAGTGTTGCCTATACACACATAAATCTATGGCTGACCACTGGAGTATGGTCAGCCATCTACTAAGGGTCTCATTCCTGAAGAAAAGGGATGCCCCCTCCCCCCGCCACACACACACACACACACACACACACACACACACACACACACACACACACACACATCTTCAGATGCCACTGGCTGCCTGTAGCTCTTCAACTAGGTGTGGGGCCTTGTGACCCCCCCCCTCCCATGCTGTAATGTTAGCTGGTGTGGTCCTGTGCAGGTCTTGTCCAGTTACCCACAGCTGTTGAGAGTTCACGTGTGCAGACTACATTAAAGTACTGGCTTTGGCCAGAATTTCCCAGTCACAGGGGAAATTCTTTCTTATTAAAGAATGATGCAGGAAGTACTGAGTAGGGAGAATTTCTCATCAATTTTGGCAAAAAGACCTTTAAATACCTGTTTTTCTCCTCAGGTCACAAGAAAAAAAGAAAGGTGAAGATGTTCAAGTTGGCTTCTTTGAATTGGTAATACAACCATGCTGATTTATTTGGTTGATTTTGCAGCTGTGAGTTAGTTTGCACACTGGAGAAAGTGCCAGTTCTGTAGTCATCTTGGTGGTGATTCTAGTCATTAGACATGCAGTCATAAGCTTTGCCTGTGTGGTAACATGCTGATAGTGATTAGAAGTTCAATGCCCACAAATCATGTTTAGTATCAGCAATGCCATTTGGAATAGAATCCGTGGACTCACAATTATAATTGAATAAGAAAAACCATCACAATAACTCCCAAAGCAATAGATCATATACAGCCATTCTTATTGGAAGTCTTTAGAAACTCTATAGCTTAGGGATTTACCCCAAATTTGTGTAGGATGGAGGCATTTCAAAGCAAAAATCTGCCCATTGTCCAGATGGGTTTTCCAAGCTGAGAGCCAACTTATTGCATTGTTGAATACTCACAAGGTATATCTACCTGGTAATGAATGGCATCTATGATGATGACTTGCAAGGTAGTAAAGTCAGTTCCCGACCTGAGGAGAACAGATTCAAAGATTTGGATGTAATGCAAGAGTCTAACGTTTTAGACAATTGATGGTTAATACTTCTGCGTAACTGGTGTGAAGACAACTGATCAACCATGACTCCCACAAGTACCAGGTGTTGAGTGCTACTTGTCAAAATCTAAATGAAATTAAATAGGCCTCCTACCTCCCCTGCTTTTCTTATATAGATAATCTCTGAACCCTTTGTTTTTCAAGTTTCGATTTTCTTCATCGGTTGACACTTGGCTGATGTTAATGGGAAGTCTGTGTGCAGTGCTCCATGGAATGGCCCAGCCAGGCATACTTCTTGTTTTTGGTATAATGATAGATATTTTTATTGAGTATGACATTGAAAGACAAGAACTCGAGATTCCGGGAAAAGAGTGTATAAACAACACCATTGTGTGGATCAACAGCTCCTTCAACCAGAACATGACAAATGGAACACGCTGTGGGTAGGCGATTTTCCTTTTTCTTTTTGTTGTATCTTAAATTATAATTCAAAACAACCAAAGACAATATTGACTGAGTGAAATAGTATCGAATAGAAAAGAACAGAAAAGCAAACTTACTCATGTTGATAGAAATTCTTTAACCTTGAAGCTATTTCCATCCTTCCAGGTCTCAAAATATCAACAGACATCGCTGGTCAAATACTACAGAAACAATCACTTGGTTTACTATAAGCCTGAGCATGACACTGTCCGTACTTATTGCCACTAAGGAGATAATTGTATTCCTCTTGAGTCTCCTGGACAAAAGCTCCTTCCCCTCTAGCCCATTTTTGCTCCTTAGCTTTGTCCTCTCTCCATGTGTCCATCTCCATAGAAATTAGTAGTTACAGCCAGCATTTCAGTTTCCACCACAGAAGAGTGGTTGGTACTGTGACAAGAAGGTGGCCCTGAAGCAGTAGCCAGAATGCAGACTAGCCCAGTCTCTGAGATACGCCCCACAGACCACTTGGTAATGAGCGAGTCTGTAGTACATGTGTGTCGACTCACTGTTGTGGCATGGACGTTGCACCTGCCTTGTGCTACCTTAGATGCAGAACAAGTTCATTGGCATGTATGAATCCATATGCTCAGGTCCATGAGCCAAAGGAAGGGCATATCCTTCCCAGAAAGGCACTTGGGATGACTTCCTCAAATAAAATTTTGTTTCTCAAATTAATTTTTGAAAATGTTGACAGGGCTTATTTAAATTATGGGTCTTTCTAAATCATTAAAATTCTTCCATAATGTCATCTACTTTGATCTGTAACCCCAGAAATGAATGAAAGGGCAGGAAGAGACGAGAGGTTCCCAAAGCTTGCTGACCAGTCAGCCTGGTCCATCAGTGAGCTCCAGGGGTGGTGAGAGACCCTGCCTCAAAGATAAGGTGAAAACATATGTGTGCATCCCTCACACACATATGAACATATAGACTTGCATAAATTGCACATATACATTTTACAAGGCAAATTTAAAAGTTAGCAAGCCAACTCATTGGAAATAAATTTGCTGGCATCTGAATTTGTATGTTTTTCTAAGCTTGCAAGGATATTTTTTTCTGAGAGACTCAGCAGTTCCTATAAAGAGAGATTTCAATGAGTCCTTTAAAACTCTTCATTTCTTTTGGAGGGCAGAAATGAACTACTTTTTTGAGAATGATATCACCACAGCCATTGAGAACATTGGGCCACCAAATCATGAAAATAAATGTTAGGTCAAAATGCAAGACATTTCCAGCGCATCAGCTGCCCATAGAGATTTATTAGGTGAACTGAAGAAGGAACCTAGCTTTGATGTTTACACCACAGGCATGGATAAGCAAGGAATCTCCTGTCTCTACCACCACTAAATCATTCATCTTACCAGGCCTTATACCTAGAATCAATAAATGTTGCAAACTGGAGCTTTCAGAAGAATGTTGGCCTCAGCTGAATTACCATGATACAAGTATTTAATTGACCATCTGATCAAGTATAATAAAAAGATGAAGCATTAAGAATGGTCATTTGTCTTTCCCTTTTAAAATAATCACATGGCTAAGCTAGAATGGTTTGAGGTATACCTTTCTTAGATTGTTCCTTTACCAGGAACTCTTTGACAAGTTAAATCTTTTATTATGAGTTATTATAGTCATCACTGTGAGTACTGTTTGTTTGTCTTTTGTGGGGTAAGAACATTTTGAAAATGGAGTTGGGCGTATCCCAGGATAAGGGAGAGAACATTTTCTCATATATCAGTGGTTAAATGCCTTCCCAGTTACCTAACACTTTTAAGATCCTTTCTCAGAAAAACTCATTGTTAAGGATACACTATTGCATAATATAGCGTAATAGATGTGTTGCTCTGGTATCTGTAAGACAAGGCAATAAATTTAGGGAAGTACATTTGCAGCCGGTGGCCTGAGCTGTTTCTGAACGTTTGCTCTCTTGAATTTTACATACCTCTTTATTGGGTGGGATATTAAAGCTAAAGCCCTACAAGCAGTTCTTAGTTAGCAACACTGATAAGGGTTAAAGACTATCAGGTCTCCAAGTTACAGAATTTCTGCTCAGAATAGTAAAACAAAACAGTGAAAGAAAGAAATCTGATGAGTGAGAAAATATCACAGTGTAATTTTCTTTTTTTTTTTCACATTAGAGTCTAAAAAAGATAGAAGTCATAAAATCTTTTTAACTTAATCATAGAAGAGATATTCTGTAACTTATAGCACATTCTTTTGGCCACATAGACCCTGGTACAGTTTGGGAAGCACTATCTATATGAGGCTGAGGACATTGGGTGATGGAAACCTTTGCAGCCCCGTGACAGCTACCACAACTGGAAATCTGTTATCTCACCTGCCCCACATATGGACACACTCGGTAGAAGTCTGAGTCTGAATCTTCAGTCAGATTTCAGTCTATTTTCTTGATAATGTGCACTGAATGTATGCATACAAGAACAACTTTCAAATTTGATACTTAAGGCTGTATATTTCTTCAAAACAACTTTATTTTAAAACAGTTACTATACCACTAATCCATCCACTTAAAATGTGCCATGCAGGGGTTTGTTTTGTTTGTTTTTTGTTTTGTTTTGTTTTTGGATTCTCAGAGTTCTTCATCTACCACTTCAACCAGTGTCAGGACATTTTCATTTGCAACAAGAAGGAAAAAAGAAAATGTACACCCTAACTATTGCTCCCCAACTTCCCATCTGTTATGATCTGTTATGTGTCTGTAACAGCAATTGATTTCCTGTGTCTGTGCATTAGCTTATTCTTGAGATATCATAGAAATGGACTCATGCAACATGTGACCTTTTAAAGACTGGCTTTAAAAAAAATAGCATCATGTTTTTGAAGTTTTCCATGTTGTAGCATGCATCAGTATTCTATTTCTTTTTATTTGTGAGTATTTTGCTACATAGATAAAGTGTTTTATTTCATTGGTGGTAATTTGATTTTTTTCTGCTTTTTTGCTATTATAAGTACTTCTGTTTTTGACATTTGTGTATATTGTGTGTGTGTGTGTATGTATGCATTTCTTGTAGTTACATAGCTCAGAACAGAGTTCTGAGATCATTCATGTGTAATGCTTTGAGGAACTGTCAGGCCATTTTCCAAGTGTCTGTAACATTTGCATTCTTCCTAATGGTGTATGAGATTATAATTTTTCTACACCTTCACTAACAATTGTTAATTATTATCTTTATTTTGAAAGTGGTTATAGTAGGTTTAATGACTTCCTGTGATGTCTGGGTCCTAATCCCTGTAACCTATGAATATTACCTTAGATGGAAAAAGGGTCTAAGCAGGTATGACTAAATCAAGGATCTAGGCTAGGCCTGGTGGGACATGCCTGTAATCCCAGCACTTGGGAAGCTGAGGTTGGAGGATTGCTATAAGTTCAAAGCCATTTGGTCTTCATAGGAGTACCAGGCCAACCAAGATTCCACCTCAACCTCCTCCTACCATACATACACACATACACAAATAAAAAAGATTCAGAATTTGGGGGTGGGAAAGAGTATACAGTTGTACTCTAAATACAACCACTGTTTTTAATAGAAGGAAACAGCAAGACTTTACTATTGAGAGGAGAGGTAAGGTGACAGAAGGAAGTTGGGACCAGGTTGTCATGTCCAATGAATGTCAACACATTCCAGTAGCAGAAGAAGCAAGTGAGATTCTGCTGTAGAGCCATTGGACATAGTTTGTGGTACAATTTTGTGGTACAACTTTATTTACACGATGATGTAGGTCCAGGGAAGCTTTCAGACTTTAGAAGGAGTTGAGTCACCAAGTTTGTGGGACTCTGTTATGGCAGCGATAGGAAACTCATCCAATACCCATCCTAGTGAGTGGGAAGTAGTATCTCACTGTCATCGTGACACTTACCCATATAACGTTGGACATCTTTCTGGGGTCTTATTGGCCATTTACATATGTTCTTTAGAAAGAGTGTCTATTTAAATTGCCCTTTACTGAATTGGGTTAGGTGTCTTTTTTATTTTTGAGTTACAAAAGTTCATTTTCTAGTTATAAGTCCTTTACCAAATGTATGACTTACAGGAAAGTTTCTCATTCTTTAGTTGTCTTTTCAATCTGTTGATGGTGATTTTTCAAGTCCTAGATTTTTAATTTTGGTGATCTCTACTTTATTTTTTTTCTTGTTTTGTTTTGATTTTGGTGACACATCTAAGAAACCATCCAAGGTCATGAAAACTCAAACCTGTTTTGTTTTTGTTTGTCTGATTGATTGATTTTTTTAGACTATTGTGTTTCTGCTTATGTATTTATGTCTGTGGTTCATTCTGAGTAAATTTTTCCCTGTGATAGAAGAAAGGGCTTTGATTTGATTCCTTTCTCTACATAGTTAATTACTTAATAGTATTTGCTAGCAAGACTATGTCAACTTAATTTTTTTTCACATTGCATAATCTCAGAACCCTTGTCAAAATCAATTTAGTAAGCATTAGGGTTTATTTGTGGGCTCTCAATTCCTTCCCATTCATATACGCCTTTCTCCTTGTGCCAACAGTACCTTTTAACTGCTGCGGCTTTACAGTAGACTCTGAGATCAGGAAGCATGAGTCTACCAACTTGGTTCTTTTCTACTACTGTCTATTCTGGGTCTTTAGGATTTTTTTTAATATATATAATTTTGAGGCTTAGTGTATTTAACTTCTGGAAAGAAATAAGCCAGAATACTAGGGGTTACATGTAATCTGTAAATCAATCTGGGAGAATATTGTTCTCTCAATAGTAAGCCTGGGATCCATTTATTTAAGTTATCTTTAATCCCAACAAGGTTTTATAATTTTAATAATATAAATTTTGTATTATTATTAAATTTATTTGCTAAGTACTTTGTCCTTTTTGGTGCTATTACGAGCAGACATTTTCTGAATTCCATGGTGGATTTTTCACTGTTATTATATAGATATACAATTTAGTAGACATGCTAATCTCAACTTCTACAACCCCATTGTCCTGTTTATTAATGTCAATAGGTTTCTAGTGGATTCTTTAGAACTTTCTAGAGACGATAATGTCACGTGATAGAGACAACAGTATTTCATCTCTCACTAGATGTTTTATTTTCTTAATTTTTTCCTGTCTAATTGCTCTGAGCCAGTTTTCCCATACAGTGCTGAGTAGGAGCTGTGAAAATGTGCACCTTTGTGTTTGTCTTGACTTTGAGGTGAAGTCCTTCACCACTGAGAATGGTGCTAGTTGTAGGTTTTCACAAGTACCTTTTATCATATTGAGGGAATTGCCTTCTCTTCCTGGTTTGAGGGCTTTTTAGTCACTAAGGGGTGTTGAGTTTTGTCAAAAATTTCTCTATTAAGGAGAACACATGGGTTTGGGTATTATAATATTCATATGGTCTATATTACTGATTTACTTTTATGTGCTGAATCACCAGGAATACCTTGTACTTAGTAATGATGTGTGATCCTGTTAATATGCTCCAAGAATGAATTTGTTAGTATTCAGTTGAGGGTGTGTGTGTGTGTGTGTGTGTGTATGTGTGTGTATGTGTGTGTGTGTGTATACATGCTAGTGTTTGTGAACTTTCATATGCAGATATGTATGGAGACCAAAGGTCATTATTAGATGTTTTCATCAATCGTTCTCAACCTTATTTTTATTTATGTTTTAAAATTAATTTATGATTTGACAGTTTCAGACATGTATATAACACACTCTGGGCACATCCATCCCTTCACTCTCAATTATCCTTCTGGCAACCCCTCTCCTTCCCCCTTCTGCCGGTATGTCCCTATCCCTTTTCTGTCTTTTGTTTTTGCATTGGGACCCACTGGCTTTAACCAGGGCCATCTGTGTGAGCACAGGGGTGAAGGTATCTGCTGGGGCACTGAGAGCTCACTAGCTATTTCATTTGAGTTTGGATCTTTCACCGAACCCAGAGCTTAGCTTACATAGTCTGCTAGATGGTTGGCCAGAAAGCCCCCAAGGTCCCGTCTCCGCCTTCCCGGTGCTGGGGTTGCAGATGCATGCTGTGTGGCCAGCTTTTACGTGAATGGTGGGGATCACATTCAGGTTCTTGGGCTTATGTGGCAAACGCGTTATCAACTGAGCATTTATTTCTTCAGCCTCCTAAGTGTTGAGGATTACTGTGACTATATTCATTAGACATATCAGCATGCATGCATGCACTTTTTGATTTTTTTCTTATTCTTTTGGAATCAGGTAACTAACACTGGACTCACAGAGTGAATTCGAAAGTGTTCCTGTCAAGTCTACTTTTTTTTTAAGCTTTAAAACAAATGGTATTGATATTTAATTGTCTGGTAAAAATTAGTCAGTGAAGCTGTCTAGTCTTTCCCTTGTTGAGTGGTTTGGTTATTGATTCAATCTCTTTGCTGAATGTAGATCTGTTCTGATTATTTATTCCTTTGATAGAATTTTGAATTAAAACATTAAAATTGCATGCGTATTTCTGTACAAGGCTTTTTGACATATGTATACATTGTGGGGTGGCTAAATTACCCTAATTAACATATATATCGTTGTCTATACTTTTTGTTATGAGAACACTTAAAAGCCCTCCTTCAGCATTGTCACTTATACGAAGACATAGTTACTAACTGTAGTTGTGCTGCACAGTAGAACTCTTACACTTGCTCCCTTTGCTACCAAAGTTTCTGTCCTTTGGTAAAAATCTCCTGGTTTCCTCACTCCCAGTTCCTGGATACCATCTTGTTATTCTTTCCTGTGGGTTCCACTTTTTCAGACTCTCTGCATAAGTGAGACTGCATGATGTCACTTCCTGTGTCTGGCAAATTTCATGTCACAAAATGGCTTCCAGCTGACTGGGTGTCCTCTTCCTTTTGAAGGCTGAATAGTATTCTATTGTGTATATATGATATATTTTCTTCATTGAGGAATTGTTGATCACTTACTTTGATTAAAATATAGGCAAGATTACTTTAAATCATGTATTGAAAAACAAAAGAACTGGAACTAAATTCATGAAAAATAAAATAAACCTACCAGATTTCAATATTACTTGTAGCTACAGCAACAGAGACTGTGGTATTGGTGGAGGACAGACAGTATCCAGAAATCTGTTTACAAAAATAAGTACGTATATTATTTTTTAAATAAGGATGGAAAGAAATTCAGTGGAGGAAAGATAACTTCTTATTATATGATATCGAGGCAACTAGGTGTTCATGGGAATAAAAGTAAGAACTATAAGAAAGTGAACTCAAGAGACCCATTGACTTAGATAGTTTTTTTTTTTTTTTTTTTTTTTTGTTTTTTTCGAGACAGGGTTTCTCTGTGTAGCTTTGCGCCTTTCCTGGAGCTCACTTGGTAGCCCAGGCTGGCCTCGAACTCACAGAGATCCACCTGGCTCTAACTTAGATAGTTTTTAAACTGTCGATTTTTGTAGCTGTGTATGAGATCACTTTCACGTTCTAGGCTAGACAATGAAACTTTAGACTTGAAATCCGAAGCACAGCACATAAAAGAGAAAATGGTCCTTTCTACTAAGGGCAAACTCAGGTTACCAGGGAACAGCTGAAATCAAGCAGGATGGGGGCATGTGCACTAATGAGCCTCTTCTCTCCCCTTTCCTAAATAACCGGATCCGTGCCATTTAACTAGTTCTTAAAGACCGGCATCACTATCAACAAATACGCTAATTCTCACATTACAAAAATCCCTTAGTTCCTGAACACAGTTTCAGACTGTTGTTTCCTCCTTTGCCTGGTTCTGCCAATCCAAGTCCTTCTGTCACAGTGTCACGCCGTGACATCGCTGTGGGAGTGACGAGAACTGCTTAGGGATCCCTGCCATTATTTCTTCTTCAACTCATGAACTAATTCTAGAGAGAGAAGCTTCAGAGGCTGTAGTCAGGAGAAAGCTCCGGCCAATGGGAGGGGCTTTCTCTCCCCATAGGAATGTGACCGACACTTTTTAAAATGCCGCTCTGGGATGAAAAGCTGGCTTTCTTTCCTAGAGGTGTGAACAGGAAGCTCTTGACTGACTGACAGCTCACTTCTCTCTAGAATTGTCTTCCCAGGAAGCCCAACTGGCTGTCAAAATCCATCTCTGCGTCTGAATAAGGAAAACAGCCAAGGTGAATCCCTGTGGGTCCTCTCTCTTCTAGAAACTGCCATGTGTTATTGCACAATTCTAGCATCTTTGTGTAAAAAAATGAAGAGGGCGAACATATTTGTGGTGTAATTAGTACTGTAAACTCTATTTAGGGATTTGAGTGGATCCTTTATAATCCTATACTGATGAAACACAATGCCTTTCTCCTGTTTAAGAGAAATGTAGTCAGTCTGTGTTAAAGTCCTCCAAACCTACCAATGCAACCTTTGATAGCTGGATCCTACTTGTAAATCTCAGCACTTTTCTCTCTCTTTAAGGTTGGTGGACTTCGAAAGTGAAATGATCAAGTACTCTGGCATCTACGCAGGAATCGGCGTGGCTGTACTTATCCTAGGATACATTCAAGTTAGTCTCACCTCCGTTTTATTTACCGACCAACGTTTGACCTCGTAGACACCATGATGAAACTGAAAGTGTTGCTTTTAGCTTTTTAGCCATCCAGAAGCCCTAAGAATCGCAGCCCTACTTATGAAGGATGTGAGAGGGCGGGAAGGTTTGTTTAGATGACAGCTGAGAGGGATGCTAGCCATTGCTTAGGGAAACAGAGCAGCCATTTTCAGGCTCCCGCTGCCTCCCTGACCTCCCCTATCTGCCCTGCTCTTCTCAGCTGCTGTAATCTGTAGGCTGAAGCTGAGGAGCATAGAGAAAGCCAGGCATTGAGAGATTAAGAAAGCAAAGAGTATATTCCTTTTTTCTCTTTCTTTGCTGAGGTCTAAACAAATGACATTCCAGCCCCAATTCTGTAATTCTGAATCAGATTTTCTAGTCTTAAGTGATCAAAGGGTTTAAGGTTATTTACATTTATTAAAGAAGAAAAATAGTTCATGTTTCGCCACCTTCTGTAGAAACAAAGATAATGAATTCTCTGCTTCACTTATCGAAGGATTCCAGGTAACATTAGTTGTAAAGAGAAACTGATCCATTTCTCTTACTGTGGCTCCAGTTTTCATGATGCCTATTTTTTTTTTTTTTTTTAATTAGGGGACATGTATCAGAAATGAGATTCCCTGGTTGGATCATGATTTTTGGCTTACACTGTCCACAAATCATTTTTTGAACACTATGTGTGGATGCCTAGAGGTGTTTATCCACAAGGAGAAAGCTGAGGAGCAGTGTGCATAAAGAGCGGATGTAGAGCATCTGTGTCTCAGTGTGGATGCCGCGAACCTGTTTTTCTTGATGTAGACAGTGAAACTCCATAGGCAAAATTCAAAGACGGTAGCCTGACCACCTGCCAGAACTGGAGTCCAAGCCGGATCTCTGGTCACCCATGCAAATGTCCAGCTCACCTCCCCATTAACAGGGGGGTGTCAGAGCTTATACCTTAGTCCCTAAGAAGAGGCACTTTGGGAATGACATCCCTCTTCTTTTCAGCTATTCCCAGCCACAACCATGGGAAGTGTCATTTGTCAGAAACAGGAGAAAGAAAAAACAAACGTGCTTAATGCTGCCATGTTAAAGACACCTTTGTCCACTTCCAGATAAAATTTTGGGTCATCACTGGGGCTCGTCAAATAAGGAAAATGAGGAAAATTTACTTCCGGAGAATAATGAGAATGGAAATTGGATGGTTTGACTGCACGTCTGTGGGAGAGTTGAATTCAAGATTCTCTGAGTAAGTAGCTGGTACAACTATGTTATAATGTATCATTTTGATTAAAAAAAAAAACAACCCTATGGTTATAAGTACTTGTTAGCCCAGCAGGTGAAAGGTGGAGGTAAAATAATCAGCAGTTCAAGGCCACTGTTGCCTATACAGGGTATTCAAGGCCAGCTAGGCTATGTGGCACCTTGGTTTAAAAATTATCAAATAAATAAATAGACAAACAAATAAATAAATAAAATTAGACTTTCATAGGTGTGGCATTTTCATAGATAATAGCTTACAATACAGTTACTAAAACAGACAGCATATTACGGCTTTGTAGATCATTGGTCAAAATATTAGGACATTAGTTATTACAGGAGAGAGTTTAGATAGATGACATGTTTGAGATAAGGTAAAACTGAGAGACAGCTATGACAACCTACACACATATGGAAAAAATAAACTTGGAAGTAATTCTTTTGCTATGTCTATGGAGGCACAGAAACAAACCCCAAAATAAATTCTAAAAATAGCTTAAGAAAGTTAAAATCAATAACAACAACAAAAAATAAAAATAAACAAACAACAGTCTCCAAAACAGCTTACAGTAGTTGGACCCTGCGGAACCGAACTTTGAAGCTTTGCAAAAGTACGTAAGTGCACTCTGGAGAGGAGGCAGGCAAGCATGATGAATGCTTTGTAACTTGAGACTCTGTTTAGTTTGGGCTATACATACCCTCCCTTGGCAGCCTAGCTATTCACACACACACACACACACACACACACACACACACACACACACACACACACCCTTCTGAACAATGCACCTAGCAACCCTGAACCCCTCCCCGCCACACACCTGTATGGACTACATGTACAGATCTTTCTAAACAACGGGTCAAGTTTCTCCTCTCCTAACAACCATCAAACTTGGGTGGTTTCTAGACAGTTTATCTAGGTACGAAGAAAAGAAGGATCTGATGTGCCTTTGAGAACCTGCTCAGTAAGGCCAAATTGTCCTTGGGTAAACTTTAGGGAAGCTCCTCTATTTACTACCTTATGCCTATGCGTCGTAACTGGGCATGCATGTGATTCAAGTCAGATGCGTTATAGGAAGAGACATGCACAGTAGGAAGACTTAAACAATGCTCTCATCTACCAATAAAAATAGGGAACCATCCAAACCATGCCCTTAGTAACCAGCCCCTCTTTTCTTTAGATCCCATAAAAACAGATCCCAGGCCATGTGACATGGGGCCCCTGAGAACGCTCAGCTATGTGGCCTGCTGTCAATCTCAACAGTAGATTCTCTATACTTTGTACTGTCATTTAAGTCTGAATAAAACTATCTTGCTTCTTTTGCAAATTTATGTGAGACCTTATTTTCAGTTCTCTGGATAAGAGGCTAAGAACCTGGAGACACCTGGTTCAGATCCGTTTGCCAGTAACAAAGATAAGGGAGAATGGAAACTCGGGCCTCTAGAGTTCAGAACTTACTTTCTCTTTACTTTCTATGACCATCAATAGATGCTTGACATCACTAGAACACAACGGTTAGCCTCTGGATAGTGTCTTGCGTTCCTTCTTGCTATTAAACATCAACTCCTATTTGCTCCATCTAGACAAGAGATTAAGGGGATGCTCTCAGGCTTATGAGTTCAGTGCAATTATATTCCACCGATATTCTGCAATACTTCATATCCTTGCTCTGAAGCTCTGGAGTAACTAGAAGCCTGGTAGGAAGCACAAGATGAGCAAGCTAAGAAGTGACCCAAAGTAACACATGTTGGGTGCTCATCACATTGAGTATTTATTGTTCTACGTGCTTGGACATATCAATTAGTTTGATTCTCATTATTGGACACTAAGGTGACTTCTGCTATTATAGATGAGGAAACTGATGCACAAAAATTGAGTAATTTTCCCAAGAAGAGCTTGTGTTCAAATTCAGAGTGTGGTCCCAGAGTCTGTGTTCTTAGCCATTAGTTTTTAATGCCTACAAATAGAATGTAATAAAAGTAGACAAAGTTATAGACACACACACACATATACATACATATATATGAGACAGCTATAGAGAAAGACATATATAGACAGACGGACAGGCAGATGGACATATCCAGATTAATTACTTTGCTATGGAGACAGGAAGGCAGTATGAGTTTTTCCCAGTGGTGACGCAGAGTTTCAGAATCCATACCAGCTTGAAAGTTAAGACATACACAGCTGACTATAAGGAGAGCGGTTGTAATGTTCCAAGGTGTGAGAAATTTTCGAAGGTTTGGGAAGTATTCCTCACTTCTCATTACAGAGCAACAGTGGACAGAGACATAAGAGAAAGAGAGAGTGAACTGTTTCAACAAACACTTGAACTGACGGAATTCACTTGTATTGCTCTGCCTCTCTCTTGCTTCTAGTGATGTTAATAAAATCAATGAAGCCATTGCCGATCAGATGGCCCTTTTCATTCAGCGCATGACAACATCCATCTGCGGGTTCCTGATAGGGTTCTACAGGGGCTGGAAACTGACCTTGGTTATTCTTTCTGTCAGCCCTCTCATTGGGATCGGAGCAGCCATCATAGGTCTGGTAAGAATGTTTGTATTTTATTTTCTTTTGTTTTTATTTTTCTCCATGGAAGATTTACATTTGCAGTTTGGCAAAAGGCCAAAACATGATGCTTGGGTTCCTTCCCCAAGTGTTGTCAATGTGATTATCACTATATTGATTTCTAATGTTTGATTATTCCTTAGTATTAAATAATGCTCCACAGATGACGAATTAATGATGTTTTAGTAAAGTTATTATTTGACTATCAGCAATCTACTGCGTTTATTAAGCATCTTCTATTTTTTCAGGTACTTTTTAAGGGGTTCCGCCCTCAGTATTTCTTATTCTTACTCAGAAGGAAAGTGCTAACACCATTCAGGATTGAATAAATGGAGGTCAGAGAAGCAAAGGGAGATATCTAGGACTTCACAGCTAGAAGTTTGAGGGAGCCTGATTCTGAATCCCACCCGGTCTCCAGCAGCCCTGTTTCTCCCCAAGCTCAGATGCTCGAAATGATATAACAAGTACACATAGATCAGCAATAAGTACTCCAAAAAGATTTCTGCCTCCACAGCTCAGCCTCCAGTCCACCTGAGCAGTTTCAGGGGCAGGGTCTGTGGACTCATCCTGAGTGTCTGTTCCTCACTCTGTTATTCCAAGTGTAGGAATAGGGGTCACTGCAGTTAAAAGTCTTCCCTGGTTTGAGGAATTATTATTATTTTTTATCTATAAAACACATTTAAAAAATCTTTAGATCACAAATCATGGTATAAGGCGTGCTGAGAGTTTACTATAAATAGAATTCAAAGGGAACTCTCGAGCAATACTTAGACATCATTGAACAGCAGCTGTCAATCACCATAGTGATAGTTTCTAGTAAAGCCCTTACACAGCCACTGATGATGCTCAGACTTCCCGGGCAATGTAAGAAAGGGCTGAAAGTGACCGTAGCAGAGAGCTCACTTCACAAAGCCCTCTGCCCCGACCACTCACAAGCGAAGTTGACTGAAGAATAACACGTTTAACCCTTCAGAACCTTAAAACAAGGATAACAGCCTAAGTCATGTGATTATTCGGAGTACCATCCATGGTATTCGTTAAGTACAGCGCCTGGCACAAAAACCTATTGGTAAAGAGATTTTTTTATTATTTTTAAAAACCCACAAGACCTTGCAAGCTTTACAACTGGCTTTCCTACAAACCTCTTTCCTGACTTGCTCCAGAGAACCTCAAATTCCACTGAAGACCCTGATGAGCTCTGGTGCTGTGGGATGGTCTGTATGTCAAATTGCTCTGATTGGTCAATAAATAAAACACTGATTGTCCAGTGACCAGGCAGGAAGTATAGGCGGGAATAACAGAGAGGAGAGTGGAAAGAACAGGAAGGCGGAGGGAGACACTGCCAGCTGCCGCCATGACAAACAACATGTGAAGATGCCAGGCCAGTGAGCCACAAGCCACGTGGCAAGGTATAGATTTATAGAAATGGATTAATTTAAGATGTAAGAACTAGATAGCTAGAAGCCTGAGCCATTAGGCCAAACAGTTTAAATAATATAAGCGTTTGTGTGTTTATTTTATGAGTGGGCTGTCAGACTGCTGGGGCTTGGTGGGACCCGTAGAGAAAACTCTCCAGCTACACTCTGAAAATTTTTGTTTAGCTTTTATTTTTTTCTGTACTATTCTTTTTTTTTTTCACACCTGTGATAAATTGATATGCACATCCCCGTGGGTCACACACTGTGTTTTCACACCACAGAGATGGAATGATTGCCCAATCACTTTGTTTTGAACCAGACTTCACAGTACAGTTTCCTGTGTCCCCTAATTGCCTAAAAGTCTAACTTCTTGATTTGGAATGTTATCGCTCTGCACCTACCTCCTCTTGCAGACATGTCTAGGCCTGATTGTCCCTGTAAAATGATACCAGCAATTTTGTTACATGTAAGTCAAAGATAGGACCCACACACATACACACACACACACACACACACACGCACGCACACACACGCACACACGCACACACGCACACACGCACACGCGCACACATACATGCACATGCACACACACAGAAGTGATGGGCAATATATGACACACTAACACTGGTTGTGGGTTTTGTATGTTTTTGTCACACCTTTCTCTTTAGGATGAGAAACACAAGCAGCTATCAGATGTTACAAAATATATATTTCTTAAAATCCTAATATGTCTTATTATTGAGTAATGTGACTTTATAATAAAATTGATATCATTCATAACTCTTTAATGCTCTTACTACTTTGTAAAGATGTATTCGATTTAGGAATAAATTAGGTAAAGATGGGGGCAAAAGGTGTAATGTTATCCATTGAGCTTGAATGTAAGTAAATGTCGACGTAGGTGAAAACAGTCTTTTCAATGTACATATTTTAGAAAATGTGGACTGAGGAAATAATAAACATATTATTAAAGTTATCTTTATTATTTTGTATTTTAGAACTCCATATAATATTTTGCTAGTAACAGTTCTCCCAAAAGTCTAGGGGAAAAACCTGTTAGAATACACATTTTCATCATCTGAGTACTGTATATATTTTAGTTTTCTGAGTTAGGTGAGTTTCCACAATATTAACTTTCCCCTTGTTTCTTACTGCTGTCTGGTTGGTTTTGCTTCTGACAGGATCTCTAGTATCTCAGACTGGCTTCGAACTCATTGTGTGGATGGGGCTGACCTTGAATCCCGAATTCTCCTGCTTCCACTTTGCACATGCTATGATTACAGGCATATGTCGCCATGCCTGGCTACCTTTCAACAGGACTCAGTCCAAATCCAATTTTAGAAAAAATGACTTTTTAAAAACTACTAAACACAGTTGTCTTTCTCTTTTGTAAAAGTTAAAAATTTAGTAAACACTTTATATTTGAGTCATATATTAACTTGATGCTTTCTCCTTTGGAATTACCCCTGTAATGCTGTGTTGCTGTGTACTGTGATTCTGTCATTCTCTACTCTGGACAACCATGTGCCTACATAGGCCTCCAGTCTTTGCCTCTGATGTTTGTAAATTCTACAATGGTTTCTCTCCAACAGCAATGGAATATATCATAGTTTGACTTAGGAACCTTATGAGCATAACAACCTAAACACTAGTTTTACCAGACTTGAGGGCACTTAACTCCATGAGAACACTTTCATTGAGATAGATTTTTAATGTCATTTTGGTATATCAAACTCCAAACACAATGGATGATGTTTAACACAAGCTAATCTTGGACCAGCTTTTTTCTTGGTTTGTTACAGTGAAAATCCAGTGTTTTGTTAAATCATGCCACTTGTTCATTTTGTTGAATGAACCATTGATGGACAGGCTAACTTTCTTTTTTTCTCCCCCTTTGGGCTTCAGAGTGTGGCCAAGTTCACAGAGCTTGAGCTGAAGGCTTATGCCAAAGCAGGATCTGTTGCTGATGAAGTTATTTCATCGATTCGAACAGTGGCTGCTTTTGGTGGTGAGAATAAAGAGGTTGAAAGGTTGGTTGTTTTGAACATCTGTTTGCTTCTTGAATTTCATAAATCAATCAGTTCCCTGATTTTCTTCTTCTTGTACAAAGCGGCAGATCTGCAACCATATAGAGCAACGTGAGAGGACATTTTTTCAAGAGGTGGATCAGCAAACATTCATTGCCAGCGTGCTTTAAAAAGTCTGAAACATTGTTTTGAGTTCTCATTTTCCCCTGTGGACCTTGCTATATAGACCAGGGTGGTCCCGAGCTCATGGTCACCTGCTGCCATCACCCAAGTACTAGAAGGAAAGGTGTATGCTACCACACCCAGTACAATGTATTTCTGGAGATGGTTTCTAGAGAGCTGAGATAGGCAAGAAAGTTGTTTCAGATTCTGATGATAGAGAGAGAAGTGTACATATTATACTTCATGTCAGCTTTCAGCAGCATTTTCTGTCGTTAAAGAAAAGCCTACCCAGCACAGAAATGCAAAGGACAAGAAAAGAAAACCCCAAAAAACTCATTAAAAAAAATAAACAAATGATACTACACCACACTGAAAAGTTCCCAGGCATGAACGGAAAGACAGTCATCAGAGAGGAGAAACTGTGCATATACCGTGCATCTGACCAGGGACTGATGAGGAGAACTGTAAAAACCTCACTAGTAAGGTAACGGTTACTCCAACCTGAAAATGAGCGACAGAGTTAAGTGGACAGTTTGCAGGATGACACACAGACAGTCAGTTCTGTAAAAACAGTGCCATCACCCCGGGTAGTCATCAGAGAAACACAACTCAAAACTAGCCCGTAATTCTACCTCACACTAGTAAAAATAACTGTTGGCAAAATGGCCAAATATAATAAGGCCATAGAGGATATGGGGCAAAAGGAACCCTTGCCCACTGTGGATAAAAATACTCACTAATGGATCTATTCTGTATAACAGCAAGGACGTTCCTCAATAAATTAAAATGAGAAGTATACTACCCAACAGTCCCACTGCTGGGGACATACCCAAAGGAAATGAAATCAGTATGTGTAAGAGATATCTGCATAGCGTATTTATTGTGGTGGTGTTCATAAGAGCTGAGGAATAAAAACAACCTTAGTGTCTATTCATTGATCAACAGATAAAGGAAATGCAGTACATCCATACAGCAAGATACAGTTTGAGCATAATAAAACACAAAATGGTGTTATTTGTAACAACGTGCACAGTCAAGTGAGAGGTTTACACAATTGCACTTATATTTGTGGAATCTAGAAACGTTGCTAGCATAGGAGTTAAGAGTAGACTGATGGACGTCAGAGAGTGGGCGGGGCAACAGGGGGATGGGTGGAGAAAGAGTGACCAACGGGTGTGAAGTTGGGAGCAAGTTCTGATACGCTAATGCACAGTGCAACAACATAGAGAGCAGTGTGCTGCATAGTTCCAAAAGAAAGAAGGACTTTGAAAGTTTGTCCTTGGGGCTTTTGTTTGTTTTTTCAATCTGTAGCCCATGCTGACTTTGACTTGCTATGTAGCCAAGGCTGTCCCTAAACTTGGAATCTTCCCACCTCTGACTCTAGTCCTAGAATCACTAGTTTACTCCCGTACCCAGTTGGTCAATGATTGAGAATATATATATACTCTGATTTAAACATTACTTGTTGTGTACATGCATCAAAGCATCACATTTTTTCCCATCACTACATATGATGCTCTGTTTTTATATGTTAGTAAAAAAACTAATTTAATTTACATTTTCAAAGACTAAGGGAGCCTGGCACAATGACTCATGCCTTTCATTCCAGCACAAAGGAAGCTGAGGCAGGAAGATATTTGCACCTATTAAAATTGGTTGTTCATCTGTTTGGGGGGGGGGAGAAAAGAAAGAAGGAAAGAAGGAAAGAAAGAAAGAAAGAAAGAAAGAAAGGAAGGAAGGAAGGAAGGAAGGAAGGAAGGAAGGAAGGAAGGAAGGAAGAAATGGCAGCATGATTCAAGCTTTTTTCATTTTCCTAAGATTATATTTCACTTATTTTACAGGGAGGAAGGGTGGTGTGTGGGCTCAGGGCAGATGAAGGTCAGAGGATCACTGCAGGAGTCAGATCTGCCTTTCCACTATGTGGGTCCTGGAGATCAAACTTGGGTCCTTGGGCTAGCTGCCTTTACTCACTGGGTCATCTGGACAGCCTCAGAACATTTTTTTTTTATTGAACATTTTTTATGAAGCTACTGTGCTGTTAAATGCATTTAATAAATCCTATAATTTTTCATTTAACCAAACAAAAATTAACACTGATAAATTATGACAAATCATTCTAGAGACAAATTTTTAATGAAAGTAAAAACTTAATTTGCAAAAATGATGTAGTTATCAAAATTTTTTTAGCGGGTGGTGATGGCACACACCTTCAATTCCAGCACTCGGTAGACAGAGCCAGGTATGTATCTTGAGTTCGAGGCCAGCCTGGTCTACCCAGCAAGTTCCAGAGCAGTCAGAGCTATAGAGAAATCCTGTCTTGGAAAAAAAATGAAAAAGAAAAAAAAAGATTTTATTTATTCTTGTAATTTGGTTAATATATTTTGAGCTTTTTGATTTGTTTGTTGGTTGTTTTTTGAGACACAGTCTCACTATGTAGTCCTGGCTGGTCTGGAACTCACCATGTGACTAGTCCAATCTGTTGATTTAGAGATAATTGCTTATTTTCTGATAGAAAACCTGATATATATTCCAAGGAAACACTTTAAATGTAAGTAGTAATAGATCCCAAGCAAAGACAGTTGTCTTAAAACATTGCTTTCTCTTGGGGCCAAAGCTATCTCACTGTTCCCCATCCAAGCTGTGACCGACTTAAGTAGGGGTGTTTAGGGGTGACTATAATCCCTGAATAAAATTCTGCATCATGACCCATCTTAAACGTTATACCCTGAGCTGCTCCAGCTGGCATTGACTCAAACCTTTTCTGTTTACAGGTATGAGAAAAATCTTGTGTTCGCCCAGCGCTGGGGAATTAGAAAAGGAATGGTGATGGGCTTCTTTACCGGATACATGTGGTGTCTCATTTTTCTGTGTTATGCACTGGCCTTCTGGTACGGCTCCTCGCTAGTCCTGGATGAAGAGGAGTATACTCCAGGGACACTGGTCCAGGTACTTTGGTCTTGTTTCCTATCTATGGTATTTCTTGCTAGTTTATCAGAAAAGTCATAGTAGCCATAAGGATTATTGCTTTAATGTCCTAGGCAGGAAAGCCTCCATGGTTTGCTGAAGTCCATCTGCAGGACCAGCAATATCAGGACCCCTTAGTGAAGAAAGGCTGAACATGTGGGTTGATGACCAGCCAGTTAATGATTTCCAATTAACTAAAGATTTTACAGCTGTATAACAATGATCCTCCAGCTGATCCCAAAAGACAATATGCCACAGAAATGGAAAAATCATTGACCTCTCAGCCAAGAATGAACAGGTCATAAAACTGAAGTTAGTAATAGTACAAGATATGTGCCTAAATCCTATGCTTGTGATAGGTGATGGGTTATTAACATGCCAAGTCAGTAACATCTTCAACTGAGTAAGTGATACATGCATCTTTCCTAATTCATTTGTGGGATGTCATGCCATCAAGAATGTTATAGCTACTTTAATTCACAGTGTCCCTTTCAGTTAGTTACACCATAAGCATTTGCTGACCATCTGCTGCATGCCAAATCTACCCAAAGCACAGTGGACAAGAAAAGAATGTGGTTCTTTTTGTCCCATTGGGAAAGATAAGGAATAATTAACCAATCATGTAAGTGTATGATGGCAAACGGTGATGTGGGCTATAACATAGAGGACAGGGAACATTGATAGTAAATAACAGGGTCACCAAATGTGTCTGGGACAGAAAAGAATGTTCTTGTCACCTCTGCCAATGCCTTTCTTCCTTAGTTTTACCATTCCTTAGTTTACCATTTCTGAAGGTAGCCGCTGACTGCCTGCACTTTCCCAGCCACGCCTTGCACACTCATCCATCTTGCACACTCATCTAGTCTTGAGTTCTCTTTACAGCCCCTGTTCTTTTCCTTCGGGACATTTGTGTCTTGGGAAACTTCTGCGTCTATTTGCATTTATCCTTACCCCTTTCTGTCCTCATATAGTAAGGCCCATGAGGTCCACTGAGGAGGGAGGATGCTCTTTTTTTCACTGCTGTGGTGATGGAAATAGCTTCATGGAAGAGTTTTAAATAAAATGTTTTGGCTGCAGATTCTGGATGGTACAGGCACCAGTTAAACAATGAAAAGTATCAGGAGTTCACTACAAGAAAGTTTATCATTCAAAATCCACTGTTTATTACAAACACATCCCTAGGGTAAACGGGAGCATTTGCATTGGCAATAGGAATGATCATCCAATGCCAGTCATTCTGAGCATGATGACAAAGCAAAAGAATGTCCTAAAATTGTTTTTGTGTTTGAAGAACGAACAACTTTGAACTTTGTCTAAAAATATTGAATCCGATAACACATGTTCAAGTGTCGCATAACTTTGGAAAGATATATGGAAAGTGTTAATACTATCATCATTTGCCATTCTCCCTGCAACTTAGATCTGTTTTTGTACAGCAGAAAAGTTAAAGTATTGTAGGTCTAAAATCTGACTACAAAGTTTCGTCTCCTTATTGATCCAGCTGCTTCTGAAAGCTTTAGACATTTGGGCTGGTGGGATGGCTCAGTGGGCAAAGGCTCTTTCTGCTAAGCATGGCGATGTGAGTTCGATCCCCAAGACTCACAAGGGAGGAGGTAAATGGACTCAGGCAAGTCATCCTATGATCCCCACACCTCCACTATGGCACACATGCAGCCCCCAATGAACAAATAAATCAGTGTAATTAAAACAATTGAAATGCTTTATACTATACATTTATCAACCAAAGGTGCTAAGAGCCAAACTCAGCGTGGGCTGTTCACTTTGCAGAAACACACTCACTGGGTAAAGCTGTTCTTTTATTCTGTGCCTATGAGAAGAGAGGAACTCATGAATAAAAGTTCAGAGGAGAAATGAATTAGGAAATTGAAAGTTAAATATCCACAAATTCAACTGGAAGCTCTGAAGAGAAGTCCCTGTGTGTCACAGCTTCAATAGTCAGCTTTACATACCTGGAAAAGGTGCCTCAACTGAGAAACTGCACTCATTAGATTGGCCTGGGGGTATGTGTGTAGGATGTGGTTTTGACTCATGTCTTTGCTGAGGGTCCAGACCACTGTGGGCGGTGCCATTCCAAGGCAGGTGGTCCTGGGCTGTGTAAGAAAGCAAGCTAAGTCAGAGGAAGCAAGTCAGTGAGCAGTTCTGCTGTGGTCTCTGTTTCAGTTTCTGTCTTCAGGTTCCTGCCTTGGCTCCCCTCAATAACAGACTCTGACTTGTAAGTCAGGGAAACCCTTTCCTCCTCAGATTGCCTTTGGCCATGGTGTTTATCACAGCAACAGAAAATCGAACAGTACACCTTGACTACTTTTCAATTCCTGTAAAGAGGCACCATGACTAAGGCAACTTACAAAAGAAAGATCTTATGGGGGATTTCAGTTTCAGAGATTGAGTCCATGACTGTCATGATGGGGAACATGGCGGCAGGCAGGCAGGCACTAGAGTGGTAGCTGAGAGCTTACATCTTGTTCTGCAAGCATGAGGTAAAGAGACAGAGAGAGAGAGAGACAGAGACAGAGACAGAGACAGAGACAGACAGACAGAGAGACAGAGGACTAATTGGGAAATAGCACGGGTTTTTGAAACTTCAAAGGCCACTCCCAATGACACACCTCCTCCAACAAGGCCATACCTCCTACTCCTTCCCAAACAGTTCCACCAACAGAGGAGCAGGCATTCAAATATAGGAGCCTATGGAGCCATTCTGTAGCACGAATTCTTAGAAGTTCTTATTAATAAAATCAAACCTGGAGCCAGTATTGGGGTGAATGCTGGAAGATCAGAGAAGCAGAACAAGCCACAGCCACCTCACCTTGCCAGTTCCTCAGCAGATCCTTTTTCCTCAGACTGGAAGCCTCTGAGTTCTCATTCGAATGGATCTCAGCTGAACTGCTGCTCAAAAGCCTAAAAGCTTAACCAGGCCTAGTTCCTGGTTTTCACGCCTTATATCTTTCTGCTTTCTGCCATCACTTCCTGGGATTAAAGGTGTGAGTCATCATGCCTGGCTGTTTCCAGTGTGGCTTTGAACTCACAGAGAACCGGATGGATTCTGCCTTTGGAATGCTAGGATTAAAGGTGTGAGTGCCACCATTTTTTGGCCTCTGTATCTAGTGGTTGTTCTGTTCTCTGACCCCAGATAAGTTTATTAGGGTGCACAATATTTTGGGGAACACAATATCACCACACCATTCTTATTCAATCACCACAGCAACTAGTTTTCTAATTTTGTGGTTCTCATCTTTAAGTCCTGGCAATTCAACCATGAAATCACCTATCATGTGTGTTCATTCTGCAACCCATATGTTATAAGTAGCCAAGGGAAGCTATGAACATGGCCCAACAAAATATCTAAACTTACTTAAAACATTGAGATGGGGGGCACCTTTTTTGTTCTGTTTTGAAACTTGATTGTATGACTTTCAAATGACAGTGCTAGTTGGACATACCTGCTAGACCTTCTCTGGGAAATTCGCCATTTCAGTAGATGTTTTTTATATATGGACATGGCATAATGTGTGTCTCTAACATTTTAATCATCAGTTATTATCTTCCTATTCTCAACTTCTTCCTATAGTCCTCTGCTTACACCTTGCCTTGATAAATGTTTCTTTTGTAAAGAAAAAAAGACTTCCTTTAATGATATTCGCTCTCTCTCTCTCTCTCTCTCTCTCTCTCTCTCTCTCTCTCTCTCTCTCTCTCT